TTCACTTATCGCATGAAGTTTACCCAACATAAGCTCTCCAGTTTTTTTTTTCAATTTTTTTCACCCAGTTTTGTCTTATGTTCTTTCCTTCCAATCCTTCATTTTCTCCGAATCATTTTGATGGTTCAAGAAAGAGGGTTATTTGGGAAAAATAACTATAAGACGATAATTAAAACCACTGGAGACTGATAATTTTTAAAACGAAACAAAAAAATATACTGCTTCTAAAATGGTGGGTGTTGAAGCCGGATGCTCCGTTGTTGCGCGCATTGCGTCTGGTGGTCATTCAATAAGTCACAAGTTTTTCAATTGTGGGATTGCATTTCCCAGATATGACGCCTAATTGATGTGTGTTGAAAGATTCTTGACGATAGAGGGATTATTTAGTGTATTAGCATTACCTAAAAATTCAGCACACTCTCAATTAATAAAAGTGACAGGTGAAGACACCAATAATTTTTACGTGAAAAATTTTGAAATTGGGAAAAAATTACGTTGTATTGCCCAATCAAAACAATCCACTATGAATTAGTGAACACATACAAGTTCTTGTCCCATTGAAGGGAATAGACTACAAAGTTTCTTGAGATATAATGTTCGTTGTACAATAGTCGAGAGTAATTGCAATTGGGGGTAGTTGGAGGAACTTCAATACACCGTTTTTTAGCTGCATCGATTCAAGTGTCAAGACAATGTATTGCTCCATCAGCTGCTTCATTATTCCACAACTTATGTCGGGATTCCACGGTGCACGTTGTCATTCCGCAAGTAAATTTACTGCAATGAGCAAGAGCAAGAGGCAGCCAACGGTGGTTGACGATGGTCAGTGAGTGCAGGAGCAGGCGACTTTCATTGGACCTTCAGTGTAGAACACAATACCTTAGCCCCTTCTCCTTGAAGCTGCATTATTCCTCTGGTTCAAGGTATAGGTCCCATTTCATGAAGGGTAAGGGCTCTATTCACTATTTATAGTCTATCTTCCAAAAATATCCAACGATCAGGATTATGATATTATGATAATTTTATTTTATTTTATATTTAAGAATTAAAATAAATAAATAAATAAATACTTATATTAAATGAATGCTACTTTAAATCTCCACAAAATTTCAGTTTGACACTAGTGCATGTTGATTGTTTTCTTTTACTTCAAAAATTCTAACAATTATCTATCTTTAAACGTTACTTAAATCTTAAATATATTCCAAATGTCTCTAAATAAAAAGTAAGGTCTTGTTCAGGATCATTTTTTGTTTCCTGTGTTTTTTTTTAATATTATAATTTATGTATATATATATAGATATATATATATATATTTGTTTCCTATATTTTTCTGTTTTTCTTTTTATTTTGTTTTTAAACAATTTCTTTTTTTTGTTTTAAAAAAAAAAACAAAACAACTAAAGCCTGTTTCTTATGATTGTAAAATAGTTCCCCACGCATCCTGACATCTGGGCATATGCCTTCCTTGCCAGCAAGAACGACGCTGATGCCTTCTACAGCTCCGAGGGCATTGCTTAGTCTTCTTCTTCTTCTTCCTCCATTTCTTTTGCATCTCCGCACTTCGCACCGACGAGATTGTAGCGGGGGCGGTGCTTGAGAGAAAAGGAGTGGCAAATGAGAGTGAAGTGGAGCTCGTCAGCTTCAATGGTATGGCTATGATAGAAAATTTGTGGGTGCTTTCGCTAGCAGAAAAGCTCTGGTTGCTTCCGATGGTAGCGATGGAGTAATGGAGAGCGGACAAGTGGGGCTCAAGACGACAATGGGGGAAGGAGTTGAGGGAGGAAGAAGAGGAGGTGTTGGTCGGGGGATAGTTATATTTTTTTTTTGTTTTTTGTTTTTTCAAACATAATTTTTATTTTTTATTTTAGAAACACAAAAATCATAACCATATTAAACATATTTTTATTTTATGTTAAAATAAAAGAATAAAAAATAAAAGGGATAATTACATTCAGATCACCCCAAACATTGATTTTTATAAATTAACTATGAAAGTGATTTTTTTGAACAATCGAACTAATGTATTCATGCGTGTCACCTTCAAACTATTGAGAATTTAGCAAAAAAAGAAAAATATAATTTGAGGTTTTACCATGAATTTTGATATTTGAGTGAGAATTTGAAAGAATGAAAGAGTTGACTTGTAAATCGTAAGTTTTGGGTGGTCTGTATGTAATTGCTCGATCTCCCAAATTAAACATGTTTTTCAATTTTTGAAAAGATGTATGAAAAAATGGATTAATTTTTTTTCTTGTAAGTAGGGTGCTTTAAATACAAAAGTTAAAATTTAGGTATGAGATAAAAAAAAATACGTAAAGAATTGGGTGCTATGTATGTAAATTCCCAAAAATTTATAGTTCGGCGAATTAGATTCTGCAAAATATTTCTGAATGTTGTATCCAAAATTTTCAGTTGGCGGCTCGCCTCCTTGGACTTGATTTTTAAAGAAGATTTGACGCTACCCTAATCAAAGATGATCAATCCAGATTTTTATTTGACGCTCGATCTCCCTGACCTCGCGGTCGCCTGCTCGAAACCGCACTCGGTTGAGCCTTCGTTCATTATTGTCCACGCGCACGAGCAGCTCGAAACGCAGGTACCTGTTGGACCGCTCGCCGCTGATGTCGCCTCCAGCGCCCTCGTGCTTTGGCCGAGCGTTCCTCCACGCCCAAATCGCACGTGCAAGCGACACAAAAAAAGCTTTTGCGCACGGCCTCCCTCGCAAGAGGACGATTGCTCGCGCACTGCTGCCCTCGGTTTGCACTCTCGTCTCCATTTCCTTCCATTTCATCCTAACAAGGTCTGACTGCCCCACCGGTTTGCTTCGACTCTATCGCTCCGTCTCCTCCTCTTCGTCTTTCTGTTATTCGGTTCCCTTTCTCTGGCCCTTTTATATGAAACCGGCGCTAACCGGTTTCAAATTTCCAAGCAGTTTAACTTGGACTATATATAT